TTCAGCCTATACTGTTAAATTACCTGAGGTTTTTAACAGGGGAGGGGAGGGAGGAACTATATGACCTGTGCATTTGAAAAAAACAGGAGAGGAATCATTCAGAAAAGGAGGGTGAGAATGGCTACCCCACTAGAAGAATGCAATCGATGTCGAATGCATTCATAGTGCATGTAGAAATTATGGGACTGACTTCAGATATGAAACATTGGTCTCTACTTGTCTAGAGCAACAGAGAAACAAGGGAACCAAAGAAGCAAAGACGCAGTTGCAGGAGTGTCTGCACAGTGCTCCTCAACCTTTCTAATGTCACGCCTCTTTAATACAGTTCATGCTGCGGTGACCCCCAACCATACAATCATTTTCATTGCTACTTCATAACTGTAATTTTGCTACTGTTATGAATCAGGCGACCCCTGTGACAGGATCGTTCAATCCCCAAAGGGGCCGAGGCCCACAGGTTGAGAACTGCTGGTCTACACAGAACTCAGCCTCATCGATGTTGAGATCAGAAGAACTACATGGTGCCCAGCTCTCATTATTGACTGTTCTGACCAGAGGCACAGTAAGTGGTCCTGGATAATACTGGACAACATTGTAGAACAAAATGCAAATTCTTAAAGAAGACCAAATTTATTGGATCAGTGGAGGCTAGAGGAACCTTGAGATTACTGCCCTGGAGGTAGCTTTTAAATTTTGAAGTAAACCCACCCTTGGAGAGTATCTCTCAGTTATACCAAATTAGCTCATAAAACAATGAGTACTATGCTCCTTTAATTTTAAAAAAAGTAATCTACATGACATCAAATGGTCAACATTTACCCTAAAGTAAGGCTGAGAAGGTTGGGTTAGGAAGGGCAGGGAAGCTAGATTAATGGAAGCAGAACAACCAGGGTAGAATTAATGGAACCAGAGACACACTGCCACAGAACAGTATGTACAGAAATTGTTCAATAGAAACCGACTCTGCTGGGTCTACTTTTACCACAACACAAGAAAACATTACAAGCAAATGAACAAATAAAACAAAACTACTTGCTTTTGAGTCAATTCCAATGCGCGGTGACCTCACGTATGTTAGAGCTGAGCTCCCTTAAAAACCACAACAACAAAAACACAAGATTTCTGAGAGCACATCGCAGGTGCTTCAAGAGCAGAGACATCCTCGGAGAGAAGGATGGGGCACACTGACTGGGATCAACAACGAAGAGCCAAACAAAACAAACTCCAGCAGAACACAGCAGAGAGAAACGCTCAATGGGATGGACGGACACCTAGCTGCAACAATGGGCTCAAACATACCAACAACCAAGAAGGAAGTGCAAGCAAGCGTGGGCAAGGTTTGGTTCTGTTTTTAAGAAGGTTGCCATGAATTGAAGCTAAATCTAATGCAAGTAACAACTAACAGTAGTGAGAGGAACTGTAGTCTGGGGATATATATTTTTAAGATGGGGCTTAACAATATTTTCTTTAACTTTAATTGATGGTCGCTTCTCAGCCTTTTGGCTAGATCAAGTGAAGTAACTTTAATTGGCAAATTGACATATAATTCACATATCAACAACAGTTTAAACCTATTGAGGACAGTTGTGCAATCATCACTATAATCAATTTTAGAACATTTTCTTCTGGGGCCATTACAAAAATTATGCCAGTAGATGGAATAGAAAGTCATTAGAAGGTAAGTAATCCCTTGGAGCTGTGCGTTAGGAAAATTGGAAATTCAAATATCATCAAGGCTTTCCAGATGGATAATTCGTCAAGCCAAACTCAACCGCCATCGAGTCAGTCTGACGTGTAGCGACCTTCTAGGACAGGGAAGAATCACCCTTCTTGGTTTGGGAGGCTATCATTCCTTACAGGAGTAGAAAGTTTTACCTTTCTCCCTTAGAGTGGCTGCGGGTTTCGAACTGCAGACCTGTGGTAAAGCACCTTAAGTTCAAGTCCAAATTAAATTCCTTATCATTCCTAAGCATCTTATGGCAGTCAACTAACTGTTCCCAAGATCAAATGTGCTTTTCTATATTAAATTCAAACCAAATCCACTGCTATCAAGTGACTCTGTCTAAGGTTTCCCAGGCTATAAATCGTTATGGGAGCGGATAGTCTCATCATTATCCTGAACAGTGTCTGTCTGTTGGGTGTGGGACCATGTGCATGAGATACATGCAAATCTAGAGCGGCAAAGTAGATTCGCGCATTCCTAGGACTGTAGTGGAGGGAGTGGGGAATGAACACTGATGGGAAAGGGGCTTCATTGTGGATGGTGAAAATGTTCTGGAATTAGAGAGTGGAGATGGCTGTAGAACTTTGTAAAAATGCTAGAAATACAATAAAATGTGCATTTGGAAAGGGAAAGCTTTATGGTATGTCAATTACATGTCAATGAGGCAGTTATTTAAATTGATTAGGGATCAATAGGAATACAGACACAGAGGTGAACTTCAACATCGGAATGCTAGGGCAAAAGAAAAGAGCAGAGCTGAGGCTGGTGGAGGTTGGACAGAATTGACTGCAAATGGTCCTGAGGAGATGTCTGGGGGGAGGAAGCGTTCTCAAACTGATGGTTGCACACTGTACAATTCACGGAGTCGACCTGATTCAGATAGTCACAATGGGTGGATTTGATGGCATCTAAATGATGCCTTAAAAATGATCTAAATAAAATAGGAAACTTTCAAATGCTGTTGGTGGAAATATGGAGAGGTACACAGTCACTTTGGTAAACACTTCAGCAACAGCTACCAAAGTTGACCATCTGTATAAAGCATTAAGATTATAAGATGTGGCCACTTGGCTCCTAGGTGTGCACCCAACAGAGACGTGCCCATTTGTTCATTAAAAAGCAAGTGCAAGAATTTTCATAAAGACTAAGACTTGGAAAAGACCCACACGTTTTTGTCTACTAAAATGGATAAATGTCGGTGTTGTCACAAAATGGAATGAAGCAATACGAAAGCAACAACACGGACAAATGTTAGAGACAATGTCGAGAGAAAGAAGCAAGTCACGAAGGAGTGTGTGTACTGGATGATTCCACTGATTTGACAGCGAACAACAGGCAGGCGATGCTAACTCAGGGAGGTGGGAATGGATGGTGACCTGGGGACAAGGGGGCGTTTCCAAAAATTGGTGACATTTGTTTCTTGATCTGGGTGGTTGTTGCACAGGTGCGTTTGGCTCCGGAAAATTCATCAGGTGGTGCGTGCATTTTGTGCATGGTTGTGGGAAGCTGTCGAGGTTAACTTCTTGATCTACAGGGCATGTCATAAGATATTGTTTGCGTTAACAAACACAACTGGGACTGCACTAGGTCCTTCTCTGTCTGCAGAAAGATCATAAAGCGTGTTCCTATTCATTTACACATCTTAACATGCAGCAGTTGGTGGTGCACTGGCCTTCTAACTGCCAGGTCAGGGGTTAAAAACCAGCCTTGGCTCCGGGGAGAAAGTGGGGGCTCTCTACTTCCATCAAGATGACAGTCTCAGAAAGCCACAGGGGTGGTTGTTCCCTGTCACGGACTCGGCGGTGGTGCGTTTTGGTGGGAACATGCCGCAGACGACCTTTGGGGACGGTAGTGCACACTCCGAACAAACCACTGAGTGCCCACACTTGAGGACAGGGCCATGGTCCTGCTCGAATCCAGAGCAAGCCCCTTCAGGGGCGGATCGTTCACATTTTGACAACTTAATGCAATCGAAACCATTAATCTCCTCTAACTTTCCTGGGTAATAAGGGCCATGCATTCTCTCTGCACAGCTGATATATCGTATGCGCGTCCCGTTTCTCAGCACAGAGCTCTGTAGCTGTCATAACATCAGCAATTCTCGGCTACCAGATCTTATGCTCATTTGTGATATAAATTCCCCATTCCCCACATATCCTCCACATAGACCGCTCACAAAAAAGGCAATCCATCCTTCAGGGCCCTGCTGTCGCACCCCGCTCTCTTGGGAGAAAGCCTTGGAGTTCAACTGTCTTCTTTATTTTTAGGCAGGTTAGAGAAAAACTAGCCCAAGTGAGGTTTCCTAGGCCAGCCCTACAGCTGATATTTTAATAAGCGTGTGAGCTTAGTCTTTCCATTGTTCCCAGCTGACACATGGTGCCTCTGACCAAGTGCCGGCCTCAGATTACTTCAACCCGGAGCCTTCGGAAGGGAAAGCCGGACAAACCAGCACCTCCTCGCTGTCCTCCAGCCCAAATCCCAGGCAGGAAGTAGTTCTCCCATGCTTAAATGCCCTCTCCCTTTCTTTTAGCTCCCTTTCAAAAGTACACGCCCCTGGAAAATGCACTCATCCTTAAACCTCAAAGCCCATGTCAAAGCAGGGATGTGACCAATTTGGGTAGAACCTAATCTCACCGCTTTTCCTACAAACCTCCCACACCAGTAAACTGGTGGTGCCGTTTACGGGAGGCGGGGCACTCCTGAAACAAAACCTCTCCACATCATTTACCACACTAAAAATACCACAGTCCACTTCCCGTGTTGACACATGACACACAAGCCCTTCCATGTTGCCCAATCAGACAATTTTTGGAGAATGAGAGTTGCAGGCTTGGGAAATATCTCACACCAAAAGGAAATGCCTTTTTATTCCTCCCTCCCTTCCAAGTATCAGAGCTTCCCTCAGTCTTATTCCTCCTGGTGTTTGCGGAATCTCACGGTTAGGTAAGTGACCACCGCTCAGAGGATGAAGGGTGCGGAGGGAGGAGGGTGGGCGGTCAGGGTAGGCTCAAACCTCCTAGTTCCCTCCCTGGGACAGCACTTCATGTTCCTTTCACACGAGAAAGTCGACCCGGGAAGATCTGGAAATTATAATCCCATGTTTATCAGAACGCAGCTTACATCACGCGTTTCAAAAGGCAAAAGTGATTTCCAGTGAGGACAGGAAGCTGGGGTTCTTGTCCAGCGTGGACGTTACCAAAACCACTGGATACTGGTGTCACCAAGAACACTGTAAGGCATCTTTCTCTGTGCAAGGGCCCTTGTCATCCAAAAATACCTTTGGAGGCTTCTGTTCCCAGTGGGTTTTCTAAGAAGTCTGTCGTGTCCTGGTTCCAGGCGTCGCGGACGGCGGACTTGGACACCACCCTGCCGTGCAGACCCTGCTGTGGCCGAAAGTTATTTCTGAGATACTCCACCGACTTGACGTGGTCTTGCTGCTCCGTGGTGAAGATGGAATAGAAAGCCTCGAGCTACACAGAGAAGCAGAGAGGGGGGAGGAAATGAATGTCAATCCGCGATGCTATGTGGTCCAAAGGGGGTGGGGCGAGGAGAACACAGGAGGGGAGCAAGAGCCTATGCCACGGCTAATCGATCCAACAGGACACGGAGCTGCACACCGAAACCAATGCCAATGGGCTTATCTGGCTGTTCCTGTCCTGCCAAATAACCAGGCCAACATTCACTCTGAGCTATTCAGAGCTCTTTAGTTCAGGGCTCACACGACCCCTGTCTTGCTGTAAGGGTCCTCTCTGTCCCATAGCCCCAGCAAGACCGTTAGCATTATAGGAAGGGATATAGTTATGGTGAAACTGGTAGGTTCTGGTGTCAAACTGGAATCCTTGAGTAGTCCACGCGGTTAAGTGTGTGCCTGTTAACTGAAAGGCTGGAGGTTCAAGTCTACCCAGGGATACCAGGGGGAAAATGCCCTGTGACGGACACTTGAAACCGGGTAGAGCACATGCCACACATGACTCAGCATGAGTCGGAATTGCCTCAGCGACACTCGGCTTTTCACTTTATTAGTTTAGAGCCAGGCTGCCTGGTTCAGAGTTATGAGCCCCTCACTGAGCCACTGTATGACCCTGAGCAAGTGGCTACGTTCCCCTCAACAAAACCCAACTGCGGTTTGGTCAGCCTTAAGTGAGATAATTCAAGCAGAGTGCTTCACACAGGGCCTGGCACACGGTTTGAATTCAATAAATATTGGGAATTAAATTCTTATTAACAGGCACCTCCTTGCCTACTAGGGAACAAGTTCAGCAAATTCTCAGTCCAAAGTCACTAAAAACATAACTTGCAAACTCAATTGTCCAGGTTCAACATCTAAGAGACAGGCAATCAGGGACAAACTACTTGCATTTGCAAAACCTATGCATGCGAAAGCTGGATAATGAATAAAGACGACAAGAAGAACCGAACCCTTTGAAATACAGTGTTAATGGAGAATGCAGAATATACATGGACTTCCAGAAAGAGTGAACAAATTTGTCTTGGAGAAAGTACAGCCCAAATGGTAAGAGTTTATCTCGTATACATTGGACATGTTATTGGGAGGGATTTGTCCCTAGAGAAGGACGTCATACTTGGCAAATCAGTGGGCAGAAACAAAACAGGAAGACCGTCAAAGAGATGAAGTGGCATGGCGGCTGCAATAATGCAGTCAAACCTAGCAAAGAGGGTGCGGGTGGCACAGGACCGCGCGCTGTTTCATTCGATGGTCCATCCGGGGTTATGAGTCAGAGCTGACCCAATGGCACCTAGCAACAACAACATGTACTACCCCGTTTCCCCGAAAGTAGGACATCCACCGAAAATAAGACCTACTTAGTTTTGCCTCTCGCTGAAATATAAGACACCCCCCGAAAATAAGGCCCCCCGAAGATACCGTAACACTGGACTCTGGACCGTAGCAGCGGGTGCCGCCGCGCAGCTCTCTGTTGGCCCCAGCGCAGCTGGAGCAGGCAGGAAGTGTGAGGTCTTTTTTAATAAAACAATTAAACAATGTGTACCGTGTTCTTCTTCATGGAAAAATAAGACATCCCCTGAAAATAAGACCTAGCGCATCTTTGGGAGGAAAAATTAACATAAGACACTGTCTTATTTTCGGGGAAACTCGGTAATATCTAAAGAGGCTGGGCTGTGTGTATGTGTTGGTGTTTGCGTGTGGTCTTACCTCCTAGAGAGCCCAGATAGTGTCTGGAAAATTTAAGGCAGCTACAAACCCAAGCCCACTGTCACCATGCTGATCCTAACTCATAAGGGTCCTATATAGGACTGTGGAGGCTGGACATCGTTGTGGGAGCATGCAGCATTCTCCCGTGGAACAGCTGACGGCTTTGAACTGCTGACCTCTCATCTAACATTCCAACACTTGTCTGACAGTGCTACCAGAACTTATAAGAATTGGACTGTTACCCACAAGGTTAATAGATTAAACTCACCAACTGCTCCCATAAAATTTTACAAAGCTTTGGAAACCTTATATAACTGTGGGTTGCGCACTGGGCTGCTAACCGCAAGGTCAGTTGTTCAAAACCACCTACTGCTCTTCAGGAGAAAGATGAGGATTTCTATTCCTGTAAAGACTAAGTCTTGTAAACGCACTGGGCAGGCCTGCTTTATCCTAGGACAGTGGTTCTCAACCTACCGTTTCCCCGAAAATAAGACAGTGTCTTATGTTAATTTTTGCTCCCAAAAATACACTAGGTCTTATTTTCAGGGGATGTCTTATTTTTCCATGAAGAAGAATACAGTACACATTTATGTTTATTGTTTTATTAAAAGAGACCTCGCACTTCCTGTTTGCCCCAGGTGCGCTGTAGCCAACAGTGAGCTGTGCGGCGGCACCTACCGCTACAGTCCAGAGTCACGGTAGCTTCTGGGGGTCTTATTTTCGGGGAGGTCTTATTTTTGAGGGGATGCGTTATATTTCAGCGAGAGGCAAAACTGGAAGTAGGTCTTATTTTTGGTGCATGTCTTACTTTTGGGGAAATAGGGTACCTAATGCCACGACCCTTTATACAGTTCTTCATGTTGTGGTGACCCCCAACCATAAAATTATTGTTGTTGCTACTTCATAACTTTAATTTTGCTACTCTTATGAATTGGGCGACCCCTGTGAAAGGGTCGTTTGACCCCCAAAGGGGTCTCAACCTACAAGTTGAGAACCGCGGCTCTAGAGTCACTGAGTCGGGATTGACACGATGGCCGTGAGTTCATATAACTGTTGTTGAAAGGATGAAGTCTAGATAAATTACTCAGCAAGAATAAGGCCTCAGTAAAGATTAGCTGCTATTATTAATATTCTAAAAATATTTTTCACAAGACTGCTAAACAAAGTCAGGATTCCAGGATCATAATTCTATTTCAAAAGGGAATCTTTGTGGCCTTCCACATTCTGATCATTAAAAAGGGTCATTCTATTCTATAAGAAGGATAGAGCAGTCACCGGGGGACAGAGGCTTGTTCTTAACAGACCTCAAAACTATTCTTAAAACCCATAGGTGAACTCTAACTTAAAATGCTCAACCTCCATAGTACAGACTTCTCAATGTAGAAGGGAGAGCATGACACGACAGAGAGAGAAGGCAGAATGCACTGTTTGTGGTCCAGCTGGTTCCTCGAATGTAAAATGTAATGCTTTCGGCAGAATTACAAGGTGGGAAGGCACCAGCAAGATGATTTCACTGACTGGCTGCCCTAGGCTTCAGGAGAGCAGAACGTGGCTCACACCGATGTGTAAAACCAACAAGGGGATTATTGTCAGGGTCGCTATGATGGCTTTGTGGTCATGTGGGAGCCCAGACTGTACCTTATGGTTCCTCAAAGAGCCTCAGAGCAGGACACAGAAAATAACCTGCTTTAAACACTCTGAAACGCCCACTCTTTGCCTGAGAATAAGATGAATTTCCAGGGGGGCTTTAGCCATGAAAAGGCATTTAATTCTATGGATTCATCTATTTTGTCTGTCCACTCTTCAATCCTCTTGCTTATGTAGTAGAGTGCTAATAGACCCTCGAGCCTTTTCTGCTCTTTCAAGGTTAATGAAACAGGGTGGTCTTTTCAACAGACGCAAAGCCAAGGCAGCACGTTACTCCCGCGTGACTTGGGACTTCACGGTGTTCTCCAAGCGAACTTCTCCTTGCTTAACAACTCAACGGGTCTCTGTTGACTTGTCTAGAACTTGTCTGCCTTCCCAGCTGTCCTTCTGCTGTTGCTCCTGTGTGTCTGGTGGAGGGAGGGAGGCAACACGTGACAGAACAATGAAGAAAACCTACATTTGAAGACTGCAAGAGATGCTAAAGAGAAAAGCCGCCTCTAAGTAGCAACATGTCCCCACTTAAGAGGGCTACTGCAGGCAGAACCCGCTACATCTACAAATGTGAAGAGTGTTCTGATGTTCTTCGCGAAACATCACTTCTTAAAACCACACACAAAGAATTAACGACGGCCCTCTGGAGACAGTCCAGGAAAGACCACCCAAGACGATGAAAAGGAAGGAGAATAAATCCTGGGAGGAAAGGCTCGGGGAAGTGGAATTGTTTAGCCTGAAGAAAAGGCGACTAAGGAGTAATTTGATTAAAGGCCTGTGTGTTTGGAAGATGCTGACCAGCCCTTCTCCGTGTCCAGAGAAGGCCAACTAAGAGGAAATTGGCTTAAATTAAAGCCTAAGACGTGAGTTGAATATAGGGAAGAATTCCTTAACGTTCAGGCTAATTTATTAAAAAATGAAATGTAGCAAGCACGACCGGAAATTTTGTGGAAGAGACAGCCATCTGTCCAGAAATAATTCAATCTCCACCGGGAGGCGGTCTCAGCAACATGACTCCCAGTCTTTGTTCTCTAGAATATTCACTTCTTTCACAGCTAGCAGCGAGTCCTTCTAAAACGTGGATTTCTGACACCTCACGGAGGAATTAGTCAGATAACTGTAAAAAGAAGTTGGTTCTGAATTTTAAACAAAAATGCTTTTGCTTAAATTGCTCTTACAGTTTAATAACATGCTCTGGCTTAAAAGCTCGGCTGCTTCCTTGTCATTAAGTCAACTTGCCTAAAGATTTCACAGGAAGGAAGTGATAGTTCTTAGAGTGAATTGATGACCTGAACCGTTTACATTGTCAACTCAAGCACAGCTTTGCTTGACAGCCACACAAGAGAGGAAGGAGATGGCTAACAGGCTCATCAAATGTCCTGTGGTAGGCTCGCGACATTCACTAAGACCCCATTCTGCCTCCTCACCGAGTGACAGTTGCCAGTGGTCTGTCTCTTTGGTAAGTGGCAGGAGATGGCTGCCGGGCCACTGAGTGGGAACCTCCGTGACCCTTGGTTTGACAAGGGAAGGGCGATTTTCCGCTCTGGCATGTGAGCTGGGCCACAACACGTCGTTACACAGCTGGGTCAGGTTGTCCACGGTCTCATCCTTGTCTTGAAAACACAATCGCAGAAGGCAGCCCTGACCACCATCTGGATC